GGGATGTGTCATAATATAAGAAATATTCACATATAAAAAACAACAAAAAATGATATTTGCACACTATATTTTGTTTGTTTTGTTTTTTGTACCAAAGACACATGCAACTTAAAATGGCAACTAGCCAGTCTAAGTAAGGAATTTGCACAGCTTACCTGACACCGTATTGAATGTAGGAAAAATGGTAGGGTCAGGGATTTCTAATGAACTGTGAAATTTGCTTGGGTCCAATTCTCTGCAGAAAGAAGCGTTCATTTGCATCCTCATCGAATTTTGTACTGTTCCTTTGGTTCTCATATATATTTGTACCGCCATTCGGTTTCCCTCCACCGAAGTTTTGTTGCGTATTTAAAAGACGAGCTATAAAGTTAATGGAGATGCTTCTATTTTGCCCATAGAAGATATTATCACAAAACCAAAAGGTTTGCTATTCTTCCTATAGTTGGAGAAGAGAGTGCATGCATATACAAAAATGATACAAGTCATTGTCTTGTTTAGAGTTTGAATACGCATTAATCCGTGCACACATTAAGATGCCATCTTCTCAAATACTATGTTACTCGGCATGAAACATTTCTACGCTTGTCTTCTTACTCTGAGTATTGTTGAACGAAAAATTGAATTGCGTATATTTTTGTAGAGATTGCCTTTATATTTCCTTTCTGTGCTACCCACAGATATCTCTCGGAAAATTCGGAAATGTTTTCGAAAGCACTTATCTTGCTAAGGGAAATCGGATGATCCTTTGCAAATTGTTTACCGATAGATTGTCTGTATTTAACACAATCTTATGTATAATTTATATATACATCATCGGCTGTAACAATCTCACAATAAAAAGTCCAGGTTGTTTTTAACCCCAGTATCGAAAAGAAGAAAAAAATGATAAATTATATTTTGCATAAAACTAAGCCTATAAAAAATGCACTTTACGCTGAAATTCTCAATACCGTAGTTCAAACCATTCAAAACCGCATTACCGTGATGTATACTTACAATTGTACGTTACGATTACGTGCCGTAAATGAGAATGACTTCAATGAGAATTGAAGAGGAAATGTGCTTAACTGTGATGAAAATAATGTCATAACTTAAATAGTCCTAAAATTAGGCTTCATTTTCATTATGGAAAATACAAGTTCTTATTTGAGTTGTGACCTAGACCGTTTTCTCCACAATCTCAAGCTGCTGCGAATTTGTTCCTTCTGAAAAATCTCTTCCAGGTGGAATTATTAATAGCTTGCTAAAGGCCTTTTAAAAGTGACTTTATTCTTGATGCTGAAGCTTGTGGAGAAGGTCGTTTCTCAAATATCATTTTGATCAAATAAGGGAGAATATTTTTTCCTTTCAAATCTAAACTAAGAGTTTTGTAAAGCTATTTTTCTTTGCTTTTAGTAGCATAGTGAAGATTCTGTATACCGTCCATTATGTGTTGTAACTTGTTTTTTTAGAAGATATATAGAAAATATATATAGTATATTATATATCTATAAATGTATAGTAAGTTCTATATTACATGTAAGAATGCAAAAGCACTTTGTCTACACAAAAAAAAAAAAAAAATAAATAAAAAAAGAAGCTTTCCACCTCCCATTTGCTGCTAAACCGACCTCGTTTGAATGCTGCGGTGTGTACTTGACTTTTTGCCATCTTGACCAGGGCAGTGTGACCGAGAGGTCTTGAGCGGAGACAGACATTCGTGGTGAGGACTCTGACGTCACAACCTTCGTTTGCCTTCAGTAGACATTTCCTATGGAAAAATACAAATTCTGCTTTGGATTTTTCTTCAGGTCGATGTACAGTGTTGACACATTCTCTCTGGCCAGAGATGGGTATCGTTGTCGTGGATTTTTTAACGTAATTTTTTTACTTACTGGGGGAAATCGGAGTTATTTGAAAAAGTAGCTCAGAAAAAAAAAAAAAATATATATATAAATATAAATATCACTGTACTGTAAGGCAGTTCCATTTGCCATGGGGAATCAATTGGACTATGTTTTTATTTTAAGTTTTTTTTTTTTCGTCTTTAAGAACCCATCCATTCTCAAAAGACAGCAAAGCCATTTGTTATGGCGACAAAGACCGACTTTTCTTGTGCCATCTACAGCTCAAAGCTTCTCAGAGTGGCATTAGATCAAAATGGTAATGATTGTCCTGTAAAATAAGCTTGATGGCGAGTGACAATGAGCATACGGAGATGGAAATGCATGTTGTCCTTCCGTGCTGTTTTGAGAGCGTTTGGTAGTTATCGTAGTGTGCTGTCGCAAGCTCTCGCATTCAACATGATGTTGTGAGCTGTGCAGTTTAGTGTTTTAACCTGGGGACTCTGTGGCATTCAAACAGTTAAGGAAAAGAAAAAGCCAGTATTTTATCTTGCTTTCTTTTTTTTTATATAAAGAAAGATATTTAAAGAACACATACACATGTATAAACACGCACACATTTGTATATGTGTGTTTGTTTTGCTTCATAGTGTGATTCGATATTAACATTCATAATGGGCTGTCACGTAAGAATTAATTGTGATTATTTTATAATTATTTCTGCCTTCAAAAACACAGATACATGCATCGAAAACTAAAAAAAATACCGGTTCACAAAAAGTAAATATAATTCATTATTTATACCACATTTAATATATTTTGCAGTTATTTAGCATCATATTACTTTTTCAAAGGGAAATATTGTAGCTTTATGTTTCTGAACAATTTGCGTGGTCTTTTAGTGTTTTTTTTTAATCACCCATACCTTGAGATGCTGAAAATATCCTGAAAAAAAAGACTAAGCTAGCTATTACATCCATTCTTTGATTGATTGATTGTTTTTATTGTCTGCATATTGTTGATGATTCAATAATTTTGGATGCAAAGCTGCTAAATCATGTTTCTAAAATTGTATAGAGAATCAAAGATCATTCCCTGTTACATTCAAGCTACGAGCAATGACTTTTATATTGTAAACTATTATTTATCGAGAGATGGATCTTATGCCACTATCTTTATACTGCGGATTCATCAAACACAGTTCGATCTCAATGGATAACTCACTTTGAATCCTTCTAAAATGGCTACAGTATATACTCAAGAGCATTCAAACAAGAATTTCCACCTTTCCTTTCCAATGGTTTGTGTAGATATGTGTTTGCTATATACAAGAAAGATTACTCTTATTGGTGCACTATGCAGGTTTCACTCTGTAGAAAGACAGGATGTTGCTTTAGTTTACAGCACGTGTATTTTTTTTTTATAATATTGTAATAGTGGTTATCGATGGTAAACAACTTGGTGACTAAGCTGAGAAATCTTTTGA